TAAAGAGTGATGTGACATCAAAAGAGACCATTGTTTCATCAGTCTCCATGATGACATCCCTCACCTTATCCACAAAGTCCAAACAAGCTAAAACTGTTTGTAATTTAAATCAAGTCAAGCCAACTTATTATGTCTTCTAACACATGATCATCCTGATTAGGTCCAGGGTGTCAGAGAGGGAGAATTCTAAGTAAAATTAAAGCTGCAAGCAGCATTGAAGGCCCTTGCAGCAAAGCGCCGTTCCGGCCTTACAGCGACCGCGGGAGCTCCAGCGACTATGCCCAGTCGCTATTGCGAACACTCTCGCACCCGTCCCTCACCCGTTTACCGGGGTGCGCATTCACCGAACCTTCGACATCACCTGCATCCGCAGGCGCTCTAGCAACGCCTCCTAGTCGCCATCGCGAACGCTTTCATGCAAACCCACACGTGTCCACCAGGGTGCGCATATGCCTAAACTTTACAATCACCTTCCACCCATATCAGTGTTGTCTGGCTGCAAGCCTTGCAAAATTTTGCTAAAACTCGACCTTCCAGACGTGAGTTATTGTCACTTCCTGTTTTGTCGCGAATGTAAAGGACTTCTTTTAGGCTTTTCAAAATGTCATATGTGGTAATCAACAGTTAGTAAATACTGTTTCAGTCTTATATCTTACACAGTGCCAAGCTGGAAGAGTCACCCAATAATCATCAGTTTCTTCTTGGAGTGGGCCGGGCTTAAGTAAAGTCATGAACTCAACTTTACCAGTGTGTTTAGTGCTCACTGATGAAGCCTCAAAAATCTGGTGCAGATCAGATGATATATCACTGAGATATAACAATTTCAATAATCTAGGGGGTGCACTTGAGTCAAATGTTAAAGAACAATACCAATCTGTCTAGACTTGCTCTCAGGTGATGCACCAAAAATCTGGTACAGATTGGATGATGTATCACTGTGAAGTAACAGTTTGAATAATGTAGGGGTGCACTACAGTCAAAGGTAAAACAACAATACCAATGAGTCTAGAACTGCTCACTAATCAAGCCCCCAAAATCTCGTGCAGATCAGATGATGTATCACTGTCATATAACAGTTTGAATAATTAAGGGGGCGCACTGGAGTCAAAAGTAAAACAATAATACCAATGTGTCTAGAATTGCTCACTAATGATGCACCAAAAATCTGGTGCAGATGATATGATATAACACTGAGATATAACTGTTAGAAGAATCTAGGGGGCACACTTGAGTCAAATGTTAAAGAACAATACCAATGTGTCTACTAGTGCTCACTGATCAGGCACAATAAATCTGGTACATATTGGATTAAGTATCCTTGATATATAACTGTTAGAATAATCTAGGGGGTGCACTAGAGTCATATGTTAAACAACAATATAAATGTATCTAGAAGTGCTCACTGATCATGCACAATAAATCTGGTTCAGATCGGATGTTGTTTCACTGAGCTATAACTGTAGGAATAATGTAGGTGGCACTGTGGAGGCTATTGGCCACTTATCATGGATATCTGTTCAAGGGGTGGATAATGATCGATTATAGTGATTTTGGTGCACCTCGGCTGAAATCTGTGTATTTTAGATCCAAACGTATTGCATCAACGTCACTTCTTGATTCACCACGCCACCAAGCCCACATCCTCCAGCAAAAACGGTTTGCACTTTAAATCAAGTGAGACCATCTTATCTGTTTTCTAACAGGATCATCCTGATTAGGTCAATGGTGTCAAAGAGGGAGCATTCCAAGTAAAAAAGAGATTTCTTGTTCCGAGGGGGTGTGGCTTTGATGACATCAAAATATGACAACAGTGGATCGTCAGACATCCAACAGGGATGAGTCATGCCAAGTTTGGTGAATTTCAGTCTTTCAATGTGAAAGTTATAGCGTTTGAAAATTTATGGCGTGAAGTTCAAGTTGAGGCCTGGCCACGCCCCTTTAACATAAACGAAAACACAAACTTTTGATAACTTTTACTCCCCAATGTGTTAAGGGCATATTAACCAAGGTCGAAGGCAATCACTCAAAATCCCTAGGAGGAGTTCATTAAAATTCGCAATTAGAAACGTCCAAAAATGACCCTTTGACCCAAAATGGCCGACTTCCTGTTGGTTTTGGACCAGGGCTCCAAGAGACTTTTTCATAGGTCCTGAGACGATACAGATGTTCAACTGCCAAAAAGATGTGAAAAATGGGCGGACATACCAAAATGGCCACCTTCCTGTTTATTGAATAACCTTGGTGCCAGTGGGTTTTCTGTACACCTTGGGGAATTGGACAGCGTACCAAATTCCATGCTTTTACGACAAACTAAGGTTAATGCAGAGGTTATTTTGAAATTTTCTAGGTGGAGCTCTTGAGCTGTTTCTGTTGCGATTTTTGCCACGCCCTTAAAACACGTAAATTTTCACCAGTCCTGATGCATCCGCCAAATTTGGTGAGTTTTGGTATATGTTAAGGCCCCAAAACTCCAATTCATTTGGCGGAAAAAATTGCAGCTCGTGCCTGAACAGAGCGATTACAATAGGCCTTCGCAGCGCTTAGCTGCTCGGGCCTAAAACGTGACTTTCTGTTCTGAGGGGGTGGGGCTTTGATGACATTTGAATATGGCCACAGAGGATCGTTGGGCATCCAACAGAAATGACTCATGCCAAGTTTGGTACATTTTGGTCTTTCAACGTGAAAGTTGTAGCGTTTGGAAATTAACGGCGTGAAGCACAATTTGAGGCCTGGCCATGCCCCTTTAACATATACAAAAATGCAAGCTTTTGATAACTTTTACTCCCCAATGTTTTAAGGGCATATTAAACAAGTTTGAAGGCAATCCTTCAAAATACCTAGGAGGAGTTTGTTAAAACTAGCAATTAGAAACACCCAAAAATGACATTTGACCCAAAATGGCCAACTTTCTGTTGAATGTGGACCATGGCTCCAAGAGACTTTTTCATAGGTCCTGAGAAGATACAGATGTGCACAGTGTTTCAGAATTATCGGTCATAAATTGGCTTGGGTCTTAAGTTTTAAAATATTCTAGGGGGCGCTGTGGAGACTATTTTGAGTCATATGTTTAACCACAATATCATTGTGTCTAGAAGTGCTTACTGATGATGCACAATAAATCTGGTGCAGATTGGATGATGTATCACTGATTTATAATTGTAGGGATAATGTAGGGGGAGCTGTGGAGACTATTGGCTTCTTCTCATGGATTCCTGTTCAAGGGGTGGATAATGATCAATCATAGTGGTTTTGGTATACCTCGGGTCAAATCTGTGCAATTTAGAGCTAAACGTATTGCAAAGGCGTCACTTCTTAATTCGGCACGCCGCCACGCCCACATCCTGTAATTATAACGGTTTGCGCTTTAAAGAAAGTCAGACCAACTTGTTTAATGTGTTCTAACACAGGATCATCCTGATTAGGTCAAGGGTGTCAGAGAGGGAGCTTTCCAAGTCTAAAAAAATGACTTCCTGTTCTGAGGGGGCAGGGCTTTGATGACTTCAGACTATGACAACAGTGGATCGTCGCTCATCCAACAGGTATGAGTCATGCCAAGTTTAGTGCAGTTTGGTCTTTCAATGTGAAATTTGTAGCTTTTGGAAATTTATGGCGTGTAGCGCAAATTGGAGGCCTGGCCATGCCCCTTTAACATCTACGAAAACGCAAGCTTTTGATGACTTTTGCTCCCCAATGTGTTAAGGGCATATTAAACAAATCTGAAGGCAATCCATCAAAATCCCTAGGAGGAGTTTGTCAAAAATCACCATTAGAAACACCCCAAAATTACCCTTTGACCCAAAATGGACGAGTTACTGTTGAGTTTGGACCAGGGCTCCAAGAGACTTTTTCATTGGTCCTGAGAAGATACAGATGTTCCCTGAGTTTCAGAATTCTCTGTGAAAAAATGGCTTGGGCTGAAGTTTTAAATTATTCTAGGGGGTGCTGTGGAGGCTATTGGCCACTTATAGTGGATTCCTGTTCAAGGGGTGGATAATGACTGATCGTACTGATTTTTCACTTGGGCTCAAATCTGTGGAATTAAAGTCAAACATATGGCGACGGCATTATGTCTTACTTCGCCATGCCGTGCCGCCCACATGCTCCACCCAAAACTGTCAGTGTTGGAAAGCAAATTACAGCAACATGTCTTCGGTCACTGGACACACTATCTTGCTGATTAGATCACGGGGTCAGATAGGGACCATTCAACGTAAAACTTTACACTTCTTGTTGTCAGAGGGCGTGGCTTTAGGAATGTCATGATTTGACCATTCCTTCTTGCAGAGGACCGGATGTGGATTAATCACTTAAGGTTTGATGTCTCAGACAGTTTTCCTGTAGGAGTTAGCATTTCTTTTTTCATGGCGAGATGTCAAACTTTGAGGTCTGGCCCCGCCCCTTCAGCATGCTCCAAAACGCACCATTTAGATAACTTTTTGCCCCCCGTTCTTTTTGACCAAAATGGCCAAGTTTGAAACCAATGGAGCAAATTCCCTAGGAGGAGTTTATTCAAATGCAGAGGCTGTAAACCGCAAAAAAGTTGTGAAATTTGGTATGGCATTCCAAAATGCCCCCTTCCTGTTTATTGTACAACGTTGGTGCCAGAGGATTTTCTGTGCATCTTGGGGAATTGGAGAAGTGTACCAAATTTCATGCTTCTATGACAAACTAAGGTCAAAGCAGAGGGTATTTTTAAAATTTCTAGTTGGGGCTCTTGAGCCGTTTCCGTTGTAATTTTTGCGACGCCCTTAAAATACGTAATTTTTCGCCAGTCCTGATGTGTCTGCTGAATTTGGTGAGTTTTGGGCTATGTTAAGGCCCCCCAAAGGCCAATTCATTTGGCTGAAAAATTGCTTGGGCCTAAAGAAATGAGCGATTACAATACGCCTTCGCAGCGCTTCGCTGCTCGGGCCTAAATACATAGAGAGAAATGTTTGATATGTTATTCACATTATATGTCACGTTTCAAAACAACAGCGCTAATTTGTCAAAATAACAATAGCAATCAAAATGTCAAAAAGACAATCCAATATACTTTAATAAAAACTGGATGGATGGATGTCCTTAGTTGGACAATAGAGAACTGAAGCCAACGGTGCCACGGGACTGGAGCTCGGAGCTGCTGCACACACAACCTGCAGTTCTTCTCCAAAATAGTAATTTTATAAAGTGTTTACAAATGTAGGTAAATGGTGATGTATAACAACCTGTTAAAATACATCAAAATGCAGGAAATTGCATCTCTGTTATTCAAAATTTTCTGTGAGAGGACCCCGACTCCTTGTGTTTGTCTGCATCTGGGTTCAACTTTCAGCGCAGATTATGTTAATGGCATAATATGTAAAACATAACAACTGACTCCAAGATTGGATTAACTTCTTACCATCATTAGTTCGATAAAAAGTGTTCACAGTTAATATTGAGCTTCCATCAGTGACTGTGTATTCCATCGCATTAACGTCGATGCCATTATGGGTCCACGCTGCTGTTTGAACATTTCCAAAACTGAGTCCAGGCGGTGGGGCACATGTAATGTTCACTGCTGCACCAACAAATATTTTACTTAAATTAGCTGGTAAATCAGATGTGCCTACAAAAAAAGAAACAAGATTTAAAATGCATTTGACTCTTTACCAATTTTATATCACGACAACATAAATGTGAAACATTTCTCATTATTTTACAGTTTCCTTACTGACAAACTCCACAGGGTAGTTTTTTTCAGCCAGAGTATTAAAAATCCCCACTTTTACTTGTTGAACCTTGTTATCAACAATAGAAGGAGCTCTTAGGGTGTAATCAGCGATGGTACTTCCCGCTCTGCAACATAGAACCAAATCTCTTTTAAAATTCAGTCACAAAAAGAGATGAAATCTGCAAGCAGCATTGGAGGCCCTTGCAGCAAAGCGCCACTCCGGCCTTACGGCGACCGCGGGAGCTCCTGCTAGACCACCCAGTCGCCATCGCGAACGCTCTCATGCCAATCCCGCACACGTTCACTACGTGGTGCATTTCCCGAATCTTCGACATCGCCTTCAGTCCATGTCTTTACTTGTCCAGCTGCAGGTCTTACAAGTATGGGTGAAATCTGACCTTCCAGACAGGAGTTATGGTGACTTCCTGTTTTGTGGCGAATGTTTGACAAAGACTTCCTTTATGCTTTTCAACATGTCATGTGTGGTAATCAATAGTTAGTGAACAAAGTTTCAGTCTAATATCTTACACAGTGCGAAGCTGGAAGTGTCATCCAAAAATCAACAGATTATTTTCTGAGTAGGTGGGGCTTAAGTGATATCATCAATACCAATGTGTCTACAAGTGCTAACTGATTAAGCACAAAAAATCAGGTTCAGATTGTATGATGTATCATTGAGATATAACTGTTGGAATAATGTAGGGGGAGCAATGGAGTCCAATGTTAAAGAACAATATCAATGTGTCTATAAGTGCTCACTGATCATGCACATAAAATCTGGTACATATTGGATGATATTTCACTGAGATAGAACTGTTGGAATAATCTAGGGGTTGCACTGGATTCAAAAGTTAAACAACAACACCAGTGTGTGTAGAAGTGTTCACTAATGACATACCAAAAATCTGGCC